AAGAGAGCTGGGGCGAGAGTTTCGATAGCCACCGCTTATCACCCACAGACGAACTCCCCAGTAGAGRGAGGACATCAGACTCTGATAGCGTCGYTGTCCAAGTGGTGCAAGGGTAAGGACAGTGATTGGCCACGATATTTTCGATATGCAATATGGGCGGACAACGTCACGGTCCGGGCTAGTACCGGATACCCACCCTACACTTTGTGGTTTGGGCGACATTGCCCGCTTCCCATAGAGTTTCACGTCGATAGCTGGACAACCGTCGACTGGGCGGAGGAGATGTCCAGGGAGGAACTTATAGCCGCTCGAACAAGACAGATAGCCTATGGCTTGGAAGATAACCTCATGACAGCGGCAGATCGCCTAGCAGTGGAAAGAGACAAGGGTAAAGAGAGATGGGACAAGGATGTGAGAATCAGGAGAGAGAAGGTGAGTGTAGGAGATATGGTCCTTCTCTACGATGCCGCGCTTGAAAGGACTTGGACGRRAAARCTCGCCAACAGATGGATGGGGCCTTACAGAGTGGTTGAGGCACTTGACTGGGGAGCATATATGATAGCGGAGTTGGACGGATCAAAGTGGAGAGACCCAGTGGCGGGAGCCAGGCTAAAGCTGTTTAGGCCCAGGCCCGAGGCCGCTTTGTCGTTAGCCAGGAGAGGGAAGGCCAAGATGGAGGATGGAACTCCCCCGAGGCGATATGAGGCAGGAGAGAGTTCCAAGAAGAGGAAAAGGGGGGAAAAAAGAAAGGTCAAAGGGTTGGCTTTAGGAAGAAAGAAGGGATSGTTATTCRTGCTTACGAGGGCCAAACGAAGAGTCCGCATCCGACAGACTGGCGGTGCAGCACCCTTCTTGGGCCAACGACAGAACAAAGGGAGGATCCTGCCAAGCCCGAGGACTCGGCGGGAAAGGAAAGTCAGGAAGCATCTGCTTAGCCCTAGAACTAGGAACAGACTGAAACATAAGGCAATTAAACGCCAACTAGGGCGCTCTTTACGGGCCATTATCCTGAAGCTCATCCGTTTCGTTTGACGTGAGAGAACAGGCCTCGACGGGGGCGTCGAGAAGTGRTCCGGGCTAACTGTCAGGCGGCCACAAGTAGTGCGCCGCCTGAAAATGGCAGTCTAGGGGTTTAGGCTCAGGGTTAAGTCCGCGTTTTGACAGTGCTTTGGGATGACCGGGCTGCAGGAATTATGAGTAGTCAGGGTACCCCTGATTCTGGGCGCACTGGATTTTAAGAGTGACCCCCAARGACAGCAAGATGGATGGGTGCACTGAGCACAACTAGAGACCGTCATTTCCGGTCGCTCAGAGGACTAGGACCGTTTTGGCCTGCCGCGGAGAGGGATCGCRKAAACAGACCTCGCCGCGGCATTTTGACGGCATACAACCGGGGCCGAAATGAGGCCTCGGATTTTTGTCTTTTTAAACATCATAATTAAAAATAAAAGAAAAAGATCAAGGCCAGAAGAGGAGCGGAGAAAAACGCAATATTCTTTATTTTCTTCATTTTTCACTACATTTAATCTTAGGGG